TTTCTACAGAGTTCAGTGATAGGAGAGCATCAAGCAGAGGAAGAAGAAGAAGTGTCCTCTATCGCATCATCATCTGCTTCATTACTCGATATGCAAGGTTCGCAAGCTTTTTTGGAACAATACAACCACCTACCGCGTATATACGTCGAGCGCATGATAAGAGATACGAGTAATGCAATTGACACAACCTTTGGAATTCATTATAATGTTGAGACTGATAAGTGGACCATGGGCAACACACCGGTGATGATCAATGGTGACGATTTAATGATTAATGGCGTTCGATATAAGGGTACAGCAGGCCTATACGAACTTATCATTATGAATGAGCCGGATGAATCGCTAGTATCCAATCAGGATAGAAGTAACTATAAGCAGATAATAATAGCAACTCATGTCGCACCGCGCAATTACGATCCCACCGAGCAGATTCGTGGCAATAAGAGCAAAAAGTATACGCTCATAATAAAGCCTCTATTAAAGGAGGAGGAAGATGCGAAGAGGGGGCGTACGAAATCCGGAAGCGGTATTACTCTATTCAAGGAAGTCGATCGACCGATCGAATACAAATACTGGAATAGCGTACATGAATTGATTCGCGATTTAGAGGTTTTATGGGGTGAAAAAATGGCCGGCAACACTGGTGTAAAAAATGACATAATATCAATCGTGGAAGAGATGTACGAGGAGGGTTACATACAAAAGCCCACGCAGCGATTTTTACGTCAACTAGTATAAATACCCCTTTTCAGTCTTTTTGGTTACATTCACCATGGATAAATTCGGACGTTCGCATACCCATGCTCAATTTGGAAAACTGCTAAAGACAAAATTTTCCATTACTGACGATATGATAAATGTGGAAAATAAGAGACTAAGTAATGTTGCGGATCCTATTGAACGACATGATGCCCTAACCTTACAACACTACCTATCAACAAGACTAAATCTCAACGAAAACCGGTTAATGAATGTAGGCGAACCAATAGACGACGGCGATGCCATAAATAAGGGATTCTTCACATATTATATGCAGATTGCGAAAGCACCTGTAGACGGTCTTCGCAATTACGTGGAGGTGCTAGAGGAAGAGCTGAAAGCGGTCAAAGAAACATTGCATAAACTAATAGAGGATGCAGCAGGTGGTAAATGAGCTACATAAAGCAGCGCGCAAAAAGTTTCCACGTAGACGTACCGTTATTAAAGGGTATGATGATCTTTGGCAAGCAGATTTGGCCGAATTCATACCTTACGCTAAACAGAATAAAGGCTACAAATACATACTGGTAGTTATCGATTGCTTCTCAAAATATTTGTGGACAAGAGGATTGAAGACCAAAACGGGCGAGGAGTTAACAAAAGCCATGCAAGATATTTTCAAAACTACCAGGCGTAGACCGCAAAATCTACAGACCGATGCTGGGAAGGAATTCTATAACAAATCATTCGCCAAATTGATGACACAAGAACGCATTAATCACTACTCCACGTACAGTACAAAAAAGGCTGCCATAGCCGAAAGAACAATTAGAACCATCAAAAATTATTTATACAGACAGTTTAGTCTCCGTGGAAAGTATGTATGGATTGATGCAATTGAATTGATCACAAATGAATACAATAATCGTAAACATCGAACAACGGGGATGAAGCCGATCGAAGTAAAGGTCGACACGCAGCTGAATGTCTACAACCACATCAAGCTTTTCAACAAAAGATATCGATTTAATGTTGGCGATGTAGTTCGAATTAGTAAGTTTAAATCTATATTTGCTAAAGGCTACACATCCAACTGGTCCAGTGAACTATTCAAAATTGTAAAAGTACAAATAACCAATCCTGTGACATATTTGTTGGAAGACATGAACGGGAAACCTATACTTGGAGGATTCTACGAGCAGGAACTCCAAAAGGCAAAATATTCCGACGTATACTTGGTAGAAAAGGTACTACGACGGAAGAAAGATAAAGTGTATGTCAAATGGTGGGGATTAGACGAAAGATCTTGGATTGATAAGAATAACATAGTGTTGTGAGCTTATTGGTTGTAAAATAAAAAAGTCAATAAAAACATTTAGTCTTTTATTTACCATACAACATATTTTTTTACAGGTTTTTTTTTCCTATCACTATCATCTGTACTCATTATTTTTAAAAGTAACTCATACGTCTTCTTATAATCCATTAATTGGGTGGATGGCCAGATTGCAGAATCTGGCCCACAAGTCCAGCCAAGAATTGCGTTTGAATCACCTTCTCCTTTTTGTATATTTCCCATTATCCATCGGTAAATTTGTTTATGACGAGTATCTTCATAAGGGTTAAATTTGCATTCGATACTTTTCTCTATACATATATCGATAAAAATTTCTAGAGCATTGACATTAGCGTACTGTGCAGATTCACATATACTTTCGTTTATCACATAAATAATATTTCTATGAACAGCCTTTGAATTAAGTAAATTGGTCATATAGATTTTGATATTTAGTGGTAAGCTATCTACTATTTGATTGCCACTAATTTTTGGTGAACTTATAACAGATTCAACTAACTTATCTAGTTCAAGCTTCCTATCTACAAGTAATCTAATACTGCCTGGACTTATATTTCTAAAAGTAGCACACCAACTGAAACATTCGTCCGGTAAGACCAGGTTCTGTAAAATTTCATTAATTAAATAATAATTTTGCACGGACGGAATTTCCAAAAGAGCTCGTTTCAAAAATTTTTTATAAACTGGAACAGAAGTGTAATGTAATTCATGCTCCAACTGAATTTTCAAATTTTCATGGTTCATGATGTGGCGGATGTATTCTGAAATGTAAAAAAGGGGCTGTGAGACATTGTCAATGACATTTGAATCCCCAAGGACGGGTATCAATGTTATTAGCACAGATAACACGTTTGTCATCGTGAGGACTCAATACTACTTTCTCCTGCTTCAACGTAAATACTGTATGTTTTTTCGAACGAATAAGATGCTGACTTCGTTTTATAATTAGAACGTTAAACAAAGCATTCTTGTAATCATTTAGAGTAATTTCTCTGATGCTAGTCGATGTAGACCCTTTAGATTTTTTCGTCAATTTTCCCTCTACTTCATAAGCGTACATCTTAGCACGAAGGCCTACAAATTCGGTCATAATGTGCCCATGATTTTCATCTTTCATTAGACCGGGGATTTTTTTATTGACTAATGGAATCCCATATTCATTATTGATATCATAATTTGAGGTATCAAATCGATGTATATCATCTTTTATATTCTCGTATATATTGGGAACTGTAAAATAGTATATTAGGCTATCGGTATCTGTATATAGAAGTTTTGTTTTATCTTTAAACTTTTTGAGAATGTAGTTATAATGAAAGTCATAGAGAAACGTTTTCGATATATCTAAAACGGCAAATCCCGCGTATATTGGTTTATTGAAAAATATCTCTAACCTATCCATCTCTATTATAACCATATCCTTATCAAAAATCGTACAACTGCTAAAGTTTGGCTTCGCTATATACGCACGGGCTCCATACCTTCCCTCCCATTTAGTTAATAGTTTCACATCTTTGTATTTTCGCACGTTCTCCATAAGTTTACCATAGACGCAATTAATCATTAATTTGTAAAATTCTATTTCAAACATATTTTTCGCTTGTTGCCTCATGCGAGTGTTTAATTCAATATACTTTTTCAACCACGGTGATTGCTTAAACCGTAATACTCTATTTATTTTTATCAACTTTAATCCATGTTGTACGTACATCTTTAAATTTCTATAATGAACTACGTAGTTGTGCTTTGGGTACAAGGTAAGCATTAGTTTCTTTAATTTTGAGTTATTTGGCACTAGATGCTCTGGGGCCAAAGGTAAATCAGAATGTAATCTGTGGCATTCCAAGGGATACTCTAAATCACAGTCTACAATATAACCAACGTCTGAATCATCAGGATGGTTTAGAATATCTAAATTTTGAATGTCATCTACAAAGGAAAAATCGCTACAAGGCAAGAATTCACACATTGAGGCACCATAAAGGTTATTAATATCATAATACATCAAATAAGCCGTCTCGAGGTTAGGATTATATTTCTCTTTCATGTACGGGTTATTGGCCTTCGCGTATCTCATTGAACATTGTGCTACACCTCCTCTTATATCACTTTCAATAAACATCATTTGATCAATGTCACTTAAAAGCTCTAATTTAACGTCGGTGACTTTAAGCATTGCGTCAAATGCCAAACCCGGGGCGGTGTAATAATGTAACGGATCTAAGCGATAGGTGCGCAAACAAGTATCCCTAAAATTTTCAAAGATATCTGCCAAAAGGAGAACGTCCGTCATCAAATAGAGATCAGAATATTGACCTAAGGTTTTAATTTCGAACGTGCTCCAAATGTTATTCGCATGTTCATAGTCCGCTTCGCTCACAGCTTCATTTTTTAATTGACTAAAAAATGCATCTCGAGATGGTAACGCCGTCTCATTTAATTTCTCCCACGAATCAACGTAATCATATGGAAACACTCCCTTTCGAGTTAACAAATGGAATTCATTTGCATTACGACAATGCGCTCTAGTAATAGTTTTCTGCTCATTATCTAAATACGAAGATAGGGTATCTATACTACTACTCATAAATCTAAAGGAATCGATAAATCGAAAATCTATGCTAGTGTTCTGCACATGCTTCGTAAAAGAGATATATTTTTCTTTGTTTAAAGGTAAGAGTTTAATTCCGCCAGGAAAGCCGTAGCGAGTTCTCGAATAAAAAAATGGGCATCGTATCCGCTTAAGTTATGGAAAACGACTGGTATAACGTGGGAGTGGTTAAAGTTCAAATTACATGCCTGGTGAGCCGCCCCCCTGTACCTCCCCGTCATATGATGGTGATCGCGTACTTTAATTTGATCTTCCGTAAAAGGTTTCTCGCAAATGTGACACACTATAGCGTTCAAATAGTTTTGCATCTGAAGAGGATTAAGAACTTCCATGGGAACAATAGTATTCACAATTTCATTTGCCCAATCGGCAATCTCACGCAAGCGTTTAATAAACCATTGAATACAATCCTGACCTCGGTATGAAAAAAATTTTGAAAGTGATTCATCATACGAACACTTAAGGTAAAAGGCAATACTAAACGGAGTATGCTTTTCGTAAAGTATGGTATTGGTATCTGGAAGATTGGCTTTATCACATTTCTCCAAGATACACTCGAGGTCCGCGTAAATAGTAAATGGTACTTTCTCCATGTTAGAATAATGTGTAAATTTTAGAATCTTTTCAGAGTCATTAGGAAATCGAATGGAACACTTATTGACTTTGTGACATTTAAGCGTATGCTTTTTTACTAAATCACTAGATAAAAAATGGTTCAAGCAAATATTACAGAAGAATTTTTTATGTCCTCGGCGGGACAGCTGTGCAGATAACAATGCTGACATATTTTTAATCCATGCAAAATGGTAGTAGCTGTTACTCGAATTGTGAACTTTCGCGCTTTTGCTAGGAACCAACACCAATAAATTGACAGTTTTTCTATTATCAACTTTGCTACTTAACATAAAAGGAAATATATTTCTTTTATCTACGCAATATAAGTTAATGGAAATGTCATTTAAGTCCTCAAATATTTTAATATCTGTTAGTTTAATAGGAAATTTAATCGATCCACGTTTTAATACTTGATCAAAATGAGGATAATTATTTACTCTATCAGCATTTTTATCAACAGGGTACAAAGCGGCGACTATTGACCACAGAAAACAAAACTGATCATTATTCTTTACGTTAATAACTGCTCTTTTAGGCTATGAAAGGAGGAACTTTAACGTATGTTGAAAATCCACCTCTAATGGGTACGTAACTATTAATATTGATTTTGAGATTTACGATATCCGATAATGCCCAACCTGAATTTTTTTCGGAAAAAGTTTCTAACTTTGTTTGAATTTTATCGAAAACGTTTTCTCTGTACCATTCCTTAAGATTGGTACCGACATCAATCGGCGCATTTTTGGTCTGGAATGTTTTCAAGTCTATAATACCAGTTTGAGGATGAATAAAATTACAAGTTAAGATTACGTTTACTTTTAACATAGATCGTGTTAAAGCTACCTTAATTTTGCGTAAAAAACAATCGTACGCATGATTTATAAAAATTAGGGGATCCTTATAATCAAAATTAGCAATAACACCAGTAATTAAACGACCATTGAAGCAGGAGTCTAATGTGTACCACGCTAGTTTACGTGATCGATTTTTATTGTTGACATCGATCCCACAACCCCTTTTATTCGAGGAAAAATTCTTTAATCGCTCTTGTAACGTGGCCAAATAGGTTTTCAAGAGAGCCAAATTATTCGAGTCTCGAAGAATTTTCATTCGGATTATTCAAATGAATTTGATTAACAATAGCTCTTTGCAATATTCGGATGTTGGTTTTAGCGATTGAAATGTGTTTAACAATTTCAGATTTCTTTTTTAAGAGTTTTGCGGAATGTCGAGTTAGGTTAACGATCTCACTGCTGATACTCGAAACAGATTCCATACTTACTATGCTGATCAATAGGGTTTAATTTTTATCTGTGTAAATCCTAGAAATGCAAGCACAGTTACCCAATCATTTGTGCGATAGATACCTAGGTGTCAACACCGAGACCCACACCATCCGAAAGATAGCTCTAAGTAACGTAGTAAATTCGGAAACGAAGGAAACAGATCTCTTTATAATTGAAAGCAAAGGTTGATCGCGCATAGACCTCATCTTTCTTCTATTACCCTTGGAATTAATTCATCGGCAGGTTGGGTTTCTTTGACTTTTAACCTGTCCTGAATGCTAATAGTTTTAGATACCGCGTGAGATGTTTATCCTATATGTACTTCTTAAACTTTCTCTATCGGCAGGTGTAAGTTGCAGTTTTTTTGTTTACGACTTACAGTCAACCCTGTCCATGGAACAGTCTACGTCCCGGGAGAGTTTATGCTAACGTTAACAAAATTTTCTGAGTATATACCCATCCCCATGCCTTACATGAAACAGTTCACGAATGGCTACGATGCCGGCATCAAAACGCGTGAAACTTTCCACCACAAAAAGTGTTCAAAAAAAAACAAGTGACAATTTACCCACACTAAAGGATATGCTGCAAAGCAACTTATCCAAAACTGCAGCACAACAGGAAGACATCATCAATTTGGTTACCGAAGACGAGGGTGGTCAAACTGAGAGGTAAATATGATTTTTTTGTGTAATTGTCTTACCAATAGGTTCAAGACATGATAATAACATTACCGTATTTTTTTTTTATAGAACTACAACTACCCATCTACGGAACAATAGTACATACAGTACTCTAGATGAGTTGCTGGACCACTTGGATGGTAACATCCATCATGTATATGCACCCCAAAGGTAAATAATAATTCATGATGTAAAAAATAGCATGAAATTAATTTTTTCCCTTTTTTTTTTAGAGTAATACCCACACCAAAGCTCAGTGACGCATCGTTGGAGCACGGCCTAAAAACAAGCAGTGTCAATAACATGCTGTAAGTTATTTTAAAAGTGCACCGAAAAAACGTCTAATACTTTTAATTTATATTTGCAGTCATTATCAACATCATGCAAGTGCTGCAGCAGCGCCTCCTGCTGCAATATTACCCTCAACATCTACCAGTTATCAATTACAGTAAGTTGCAAAAAATGTAATCAAAATTAACCTAACATTAATATTTGTGTGTTTGTTTCAGTATCCCAGAGGCAACAGCGCAAATACTGCAGCATATAATCATCCCACCACCCCCCGCCACCGCCGATAGAAGGAGAGAAACAACAAACGAGTACCACCACCACAGGTCTGCATCCTCAGTAAGTGTTGCTTTGAAATTTTAGCGAAAAGAATGTTCTAATATTCCTATTCTCTTTATTACAGACATGCACAGAAGGATATGAAAGTGTTGAGGGAAGTGTTCGAAGAAGCTTATGAAACAATCTCCCAGCCGCCTTCAACATCAGGAGTGCCACAACCTTCAGACGTCGCTCCCTCCTGGTTCGAGCCCTCTACGCCTCGAGAATTAGGCAGGGCGTCGCTGGCCTGGTTGGAACAGAAGGCGCCGATATTTAGACAATGTTATCTCGAGGCGCAAGAGAAAACCAGGAGGTTGGAGGAGGAAGTTGCGGCAGCACGCCTCAACGAACGACGTCTGGAGGAAGAAGTAGCATATATTGAAAAATTTGTTAATTTTTTAAAATAAATGTGTAAATAGGTAATTAGCTTTTAGAAAAATAATGTAATTTGCAGGTATAGCTTTTAGAGAAATAAATGTAGTTGAACAGACGGTTAATTTTTTATTTAAAGGGAATAAAACGAGCAACCTATAATGATATAATTCGTTTGCCAACGAGAATGGTAAAACGAGCAATTTAAGTATAATTCGTTTGCGTTTTAAGTATGAGCGTAAATAGTTCGATTTTAGCAGTGCATAAATACGTAGATTTATTAGTGATCGCATAGAAAAGAAGTTTGCATAACGCTTACTCCCACGATCTTGCTTAAGTATAGGAGAATGGCTAGCTGGGGGACACGGCGGGTCTGTATGGATGCAGTTAATGCATTCTCTAATACGGTACCCGATGCATACACTTAAATAGCGCACGCAAAACCGCGGTCGCCCGCGCCAACCATCATTCCTACTATAGGTGCTGCTAATTCAGGGAGACTCCGCGGATATTAACGAGATGCAGTAGTAACATTTTCTCATGAAAAGCCGACGCTGGTAATGTAGGATCATCGCTTCCGCTGTATCGAAAAGCATCGCAGTAAATCCCGCTAAATATACATTAGGTATCGAAGCAATTTTTGTTAGGTTTTAAACAAAATATTGTTAACATTTGTGCTCTACCTTAAAGTACCACTCTTTTGAATAAATGTACCATTAAGTTCATTAAAATTACTTATATTTAAATACTACTTGTAGGAGTGATACGTTTTAAAAATGTAACTTTAATGTAGGTACTCTAATATTCTCAATATAAAGGTGAAATGAAGATTGAGAATAAGTTCTCCGCGGAGATAAAACGTCTATTTTTACGTAGTACATAATATGATAATAGGTCAAAGACATGCACAACTAATGCGCTCGATTGAAATTTCTTAATTCCATAGAATGTAGGAACAGTTTTTTCCTTCACCTAAATTCTAAAAGGCTCCAAAATTATCCACCCATTAACTATTATGAATAACTTTCCCATTAAATACCGTAAAACATTTACTCCCAGACGATAAAACTACTTCATTTTGTATTGTGCGCTCCACTCTTGAAACAATTAAGTTCCCCTAAGTTATAAAAATTACTTATATTCAAATACTACTTCTACTAGGGATACGTTTCGAAACGTACCTCGATAATAAAAATAGTGTACTCTAATATTCTCAATATAAAGGTGAAGTGAAGATTGAGAACACGTTCTTCGCGAAGATAAGATGTGCCATTTTTTTATGTATTTTACGTATGATACCCATTAACTATTATGAATAACTTTCCCATTAAATACTTTAACCGGAACTCTTTTACTCCTATATGATAAAACTACTTAATCTTTTTGCTATTCACTTTGTAGGTGGTTTGGATTTGGACTAGTATAAGTAAATTAGGTGCATTCAAACAAAGTTTATTGGATGCATGTTTACAAAAATTTTTGTTTAGCGAGTAATTATTTTGTAAACTTATTTAATTGTAGCTTCTTAGTCTCCATGAAAAAATTCTATACAGAAGGTCTTCCAGCCCGAGAACTCCATAGACGAAATTTCTTCCACCACATCACTCATTTTAAATTTAACTTCTTCATTCTACGTTGGCATTGAAGCAGTTCAATATCCCACTTTAATTTCTTTAAATTTATTAATAACTCCTCAAGTCTCTTCTTTTGCGATCCCTTTGATTTTATCACGACTGCTCTAATAGTTTTTGTCATCTTGCTGTCTATTAATTAAGCCTAACAACCCTAACAGATCACTTTATATTCCCGCAAGTTAACCACGCCCTCGTAAGGCATCCCCTCCCTCGAGGTAAATCGTTGACCTTTGTTGAGTTTACAACAAGGCGCAATTAAGATCGTTAACCTTTGAGAGCTCTAGTTTTTAAAGTCGCCGTCAGGGGGAGAGGTATATGACCTTGACGACACTAGAAAATCACCTTATGGGATTTTACATGGAGTTGAGTTAGGATCGGCCCTATATGGCTATCGTTAGGTTATTAACCTCTCTATTTAGTCACCTTCAAATGACATTGACACTAGAAAATCGCCTTATGGGATTTTACATGGAGTTGAGTTAGGATCGGCCCTATATGGCTACTTATTATACATATTCGGTTTTGCATGTTTATCAAGTTATAACTGAACTTCCCCATAATACTCATATAAAAATGTATTACACCACCGCAATGAATTTGGAGCGCCTACCAAGATGTCATTATTAAGCATGTTTACATTATTTCTATAAATTCCAACAACGTGCCTTTTTTTAATTAAAATTGGGGAAGATTCCCTTTGATGGAATTTTATGTAAAAACCACACAATGTTGGACTGTTAATGTTTTAATTATAAATTTACAAACGTATTTCCTATATAAAAAAAACGCGCAGCGGTTTTACCTATACAGAATTCGAATAAAGTATAACGCTCGAGTTTAAAGAATGTGTGATTTTGAAAGTGCTAGGGGAGAACAGGGAGACTCTCTGATGAGAATACTACGGCTACCGCTAATCGAATTTGACTAAATTTAATTCTTTGTTGAATTTAAATTGTAACTGCTGTACTCTATAATAGACTACCGGGAGTAAATCGGAATTCTCTTTTTGTACGGCAGCGGTTTGTTATTTGCTTAACTAAAATTAAAGCAGAGTTTTTAAAAGAGAATATTAAAAAGTTTGTTTTAAAATATACAGAATTAAATTCCAACATTAAATTACAAATTGATTGTCAAAAACACAAAATATGCACTTGTTGATTGCACCTTCGTATTCATCGTTAAATATACACATTTAACTAGAATAAAGCATTTAATAGCTCATGAGGCTATTTTCAAATGAAATACTGTGTAGTGATTAAATGAGATAAACATTAACATAAATAAAACATTAAGAGTAAGAAGTTTACTCTGTAAAAAAACACAGCTTTTCATCGGTACGTTAAAACTAGGAAATACACCTTCCGAATATTCAAACTTAGGGGTGGATGGCGCCTCCGAAAGCGATTTATATAAACCCAGCATCATCCATTGTGAGTTATGTTGGGGAGACATTTACATGGAATGAACATTGTATTTAAAAAAATATTATTAAATAAATCTATTATAATCACTTTGGCTGTGTGAGGGAGGGTTTGCAGAAAGAAAAGGAATATCGTCTGGTTCTGGAGATGAATTATTTAGGTTTCTGGAATTCTTTTCGTAAGATCGGCTAAGATTTCGGGAATGTCCTTTTTACACGATATGAGTTTGTTATTATGTGAGAGTGTGTTTATAATTCTGAGCGTATTTGTGCCACGGATTTTTTGAATTTTGTTCCATATTACTTCTATTGGGGCAAAGGGATTAATATAAGAGGTGTAATTTGACTACGAATCGTTTTTTTTTTATTAGGCGCCGGTTTTTGCTCTAAGCGCTAAGCCTTTTGAAATTTGTGTCCGTTTTGTGCTATTTCCAGATGTTAAAGGAGTGTTTGCTTGCAGTCATGACTCGTGTATTTTCTTTGGTCCACCGTGGCACTGGTTGTCTATTGCAAATTTTGGTTGTTGCGGCGCTTAGGATAATGTTATGATTGATTATTTATAAATGTCCATAAGGTTTGCATTTACGCTGTCGTTGAATAAAAATTTTGTATGCTGGCTTCTATTTTCTTGCGATAGAGCTCTCAATTTGTAGTTTTCAGATAACGGATAAGAGATTAGTTCTCCAGATCCACGTTGAGACAGACATCATTCACGGCCGTCGCGCTCTTTTTCTTGTTTTTTGGACACACGTTTGCTTTGTGCCCTGGGTTTTTACATTTAAAACAACGAATCGTTACTTTTTTGTCTCTTTGTTTATCGTCGTCATCTTTTCGTCGCTGATTCTGCAACATGTCGTATTTCTCTACAAACATGGCGCTTTTCAGTTTATCATAACCAAAAAAACTGTTAAGGTGGGCACGCACGTCGCCTTTATCTGCCATTTTTTTTTGCAGCGTAACATTTCATTTTAGGAAAATGTTCGTCTTATGCCTTATAATTCAGTAAAGTTATTGTATACCTATATTTTTAGTATTTCCCGTACATTGAGATACATTCTGAAGGTGTGTTAATCGTGTAGTTCGCTTTGATGTTTTGAAATCGGATTTCATAAAAACGAGAAAGCTACAATAAGGACGAATTTTGGTACAATGAGGCCAACACTTCACAGGAGCAATTTACTTAATTGTGCAGTTCCGACGGTATGGTTTAATCGATTACACACGTGTAAAATTACGGTCGTATTCATCACTCCATAAAATTAAAGTTATTTGTACGTGGGGATTCAGAATTCTAAAATCTGTATTAAACATATACGCGTTCGTATTTTGAAATAGATGCCTTTATGATAGCAATCAAAGTGATTTATGCTTCGCAAATAGAACAAAGTGCCGCATTTCAACCAAACTGCCGAGTTTAATT